CAAAGAACAAAATAGTTTGAGAACACAGCAAGCCAACAACGACGCTTTTTAAAACAAGATATTCAAAATAAGAGAAACAAGGAAAATATCGAGAGCTGGCTGAGAACAATTAAAAAATGTGCTGAGAACAATCGATTTAAATTTAGATTGAATTCCCAAAAGAAAGGGGAAACGTTGCAGCGGATAAATATTAAAAAACTTGAAGTAATAAGTTTTACTGAAAAAAGCACGTGATGAGTTATATACTTTTACGTTTTAAAGTAGTAGGAAACAATTTATTAAGGTTAACATATATATATATATATATATATATATATATATATATATATATATATATATATATATATATATATATATATATATATATATATATATATATATATATATATATATACATATACATATACATATACATATATATTTTAATGAAGTTAAATTTATTACAATCTGAAATTTAAAATCATTAAATGTTAGTTGAATCCCTTATTTCAATTTTTAGATTTTGAGAAATTTTGTTTGAGCTGCTATAACAATTATGCTAAACTCAACCGAAACCTTTCATCAGCCATTGACAGTTGTAGTTCCCTTATTAACTTCGTGTGTTATTGCTGTTATCTTAAACATAATAGTATGTTGTCTCATTTTAAAAGTACGTTCTCTGAAAACAGCGACTAATATTTTTATACTAAGCTTGTGTCTATGCAACATTGTGATTGCTGGCATATTACTTCCAACTCATTGTTTTTTCCGTGGTTCACTTTTTTATAACTATCTACTTTCGGTTACAATTCTTGCGTACATATGTAATTTGACAGCTGTCACATCGGAGAGATTATTTTCAATAACTTATCCTCTTAAATATATGATGATAATTACAAAAAAAAAGACCACAATAATTGCTGTTTCAGCATGGACTGTTTCATTAGTTTACGCGTTGCTACCGTTAGTTTGGAATAGTGATATTAATATGGTTTACCATAAGGTATACGTAATTTTTACTTTAGTTGTGTTTTTAATTGCACCTTTAATTTTTGTGTGTACCACATACATCAAAGTATGCCTTGAAATTAAAAAAATGCTTGATTATAACAAAGAATGTATTGGATCAAACATCCTTCAATTTTCATCTTCGGTAGAAAATATAGCTTCAGAGATGACCTGCGTTCCAGAAATTGAAAATGAAATTGTTTTATCTAAAAATCTTCTCAAACCAAGTGATTCTAGCGTAAGCGCTGTTAAAACAAGTGATAGTTCTGCAAACAACTGCAAGAAGGAAATTGACATAAGATCTTCGCTTTTTAAACAACTCAAATCAAAAATGTCAGAGTTAAAGTCGGCCACAGCGTTTGGAATTGTTGCTCTAACATATATGATGAATTGGATTCCTGTTATAATACTTACGACTTTAGAAGCTATAGGCAGGTTAGACCTGATTCCGATTGGACTGGAAGAATTTTCAATTTTCATAATGGCTATTAGCACACTGGTTGATCCTTTTATTTATGCTTTGTTTCTTAAAAATTTTCGTAAAAAAATTAAACTAATCATCAGAAGATTTAAGGCAGAAAACAGAAATTTGTTATGTTTCACATAAACCAAAAATCAAATTAAATTTATAATAATAAAGTATATAGCAATATCCAAAATAAAAAGTATAAAGTAAATCAAGAATAAGTTTTTATAAGTATTTTTATTTCGCAATATTTACATAAATATGCTAATGTTTATAATTTTTTAATAAGTTATATATTTTACATATAAAGTTTTATGTTTATTACAAACTTTTTATACTTTGAATTTTGTATACTTATAGATATTTATACTATTTTTATAACCAATTTTTTTAACCAATTTTTTATTTTTATTAAATTTAGATTTTTTTAAATATTTATATGCAAATATTAAATTTAATTATTGGTAATATAAAGTTTTGCTATATAATTGTTATAGGCTTTTCATTATCAATCTATTGCTAAATAAGATATTAATTGTAATATATGTTGTGTGGTATTTTGAATTCTAAAAATGAATCTTTATGATTGTCATTTTTTTATATCGTATAAAAATTTCATTTTTCTGTTTTGTTATTGTTTTAACTTATTAATTTGAACGTGTTTGAATTGTTATCGTTTATTACACCTTGAAGGGTTTTCGGTGTATTAATTTAACAAAGTAATTAAAGAATAAACACTCTTCCAGAACATTCGGAAGTCGGTACCTTAAGAACTATATCCCGTGAAAAAGTGCGAATTTTTAAGTAAATAATGTCAAGTGAAGTGCTTGGAAGATCTTTTATTGCCGAAAATTGTTTTTAAAAGGATCATATTTTTGGAAAGCGGATATTGATAAGAATACAAACTTTTTTTTTTAAATCAATATTTAGAAAATCTAAACTATAAAGTTTAGGAAAAACAAAAACCGCACAACTTAAAATAATGCTTTCTTTATAATTATCATATATATCACGCAAGTATCCAATGACCATAATTTTTGTCATATTTTTTCTTTATAGTTATAAAAGTATATTTTAAACATTGAAGGCACTTTCTACTATATCTTTAAATAATATAGTAGAATTTTAAATTGTTTTTTTCAAACTGTTTAAAGTAAGCATACTGATGGAAAATCAGTCAGTATGCCCACTTTAAATAATTTTAGGGTTCTGGTTTGGGTGGATAATGAAAAGAAAAGCTCTTTATATGTGTTTAAAATTTTTTACGTCTTACTCTTTAACTTTTTTTAAATTTAAAATTACTTTTTTTTTTTTTTAATATATATATATTTCGTCGCCATGAGTAATTACAATACCAAAGAACATGAATAAAAATAAAATATGACCTGGGCAAAAAGAAGACTGTAGTTGTCTTATCACTAAGCCCCGTAATAAATACACCGTAAGTTACAATGCTTATAAAAACCGTAATAATGTAAGTTACATATCTTTTAAATTTTTTTTTTACTGTTAAAGTTTACTAAAAATATATTTTAAATAGGGAATAAAATAATAAACCAAAAAAAAAGACCAACAAAAAAGAAGAAAAAACAAACAAAAAAGACAATTTAATTGTTTAATTACTTATCATGATACAAAATACATTTTTCTAAATACACAACAATATTATCAAAAAAAACTAAAAAAAAAAAAACATTTTTTATCAGAATGGTTTAATTGTTTGTCATTAGAAAGTTTGTGGTTTTAATTTTTCAAATTTCTTGAAATCATGTTATCACTATTAGTAAAAGTTATAACTTTCTGATAAAATCAAGCAAGAGTGGTTCACAAACAAAACTAAATGCCCTAAAAAACTCAACTAAAAACAAATAAACGTTAACAAACGTTGTTGTTTTTTTTCAGTTATTTTTATTTACAATATCGTAAACTCAAAAATACTTTCAACGGTCATATTGTTATTGTAACCATCAACCAGTATACTTGCATGTATCTGTCTAGCAACTGGAAAAATACATCTTTTTGTTGTTTATAAAAATTATAGATTGCAAAATTTCCAACCAAAGTGAGTTTGAATTATAAAAAATATATCAATTTGAAAAACTACAAAGAATTTCCAAAATTTTATTTATGAATTAGACATTTATTTTAGACAACTCGTGTAAAAAAATCTCACAATAAAATTAAAAGTAGATGTACAGAATAATTTTCATACTGTATGTACATTTTACAAAAACTTTTTTTCGAAAAACAATATCTTCAAAAATGTTGTTTGAAGATCTTGTGAGAAAATGTCTTATACAGAACTGTATTTCAATTAATTTTTATCTTTTATATTTAGAATAATTATAAATGTTTTATGATGATGTTAATATTCTTTAGCAAAACGTGAAATCAGGAAGAAATTCCACAAAGGACAATTTTGACAGACATAGAAAAACTACAGGAGTTCGAATTTTACTAGATAACATATAATCAAATGACGACCTTGGATTCCTAACTTAATTTATTTTAATAACATAAAACTTTTTTAAAACTCTTTGATCAGATAAAAAAACAACTTCTACAAAATGCTATGTTTTTAAAAAATAACTTGAATTTTAACAATTATGAATGTTTGTTAATCAAACAGCAAACGCAAAATAAAATTGGCCATTGAATTGGTTATTTATAATTACAAAAATATGCAGAATATACAAAAAATTAATAGTAAATAAATTATTTATCAATAAACAATTTCAGTTTAAGTGCTAAACAAATTAGTTAAACTTTTAGTGGTAGACAAAAAAAAAAAAAAATTTAAAACCACTACTGAACCAATCATCAAGTAAATTTCATTAATAAAGAAGATGTCCCCAGCGTAAAAAAAGATGGTGTGAAAAGAGTCTCACAGTTAAACAAAGTAATAAAACAATAATAACAGTTCATAGCCACTAGTGATCTTTACAAGTAACACTTAGCTAGCAAAATTTCAATGTGGGGGGTTAACAATAAACATATACTATTTTCAACAGACAGACTTGAATCCTATCTCGTTTAATGTAGATACTTTCAACACATTCTGTTGTCATAGCATCACATCTTGTTTTCTTTTCTTTGTTCTTATTATTTCTTTATTATTTTCTAACCCTTTTACACCATTAGATTATTTAAAATTCTTAAACATGCAACATTTAAATCAAACCTATTTTTATTGCAAAACTTAACATATTAAAAAACTTATTTGGCTTGTGTTATTGAAGAAAAAAACGGTTTGTTGTCAATGGAGACAAACTCAGAAACTAGAGCAACATTAGTTAAATATTATAACTTTAACTCAGACAGTAAATTTAAAAGTGTGTAAACTCTGTATTATATAGCTCATAACTTTAGAAACGCAACAAACATATTTAAAAAAAAAACACAACTTCTTGGTTTTTGAACAAAATAAAAATAAAACTATATACATATTTACAAATTAGGAAAGGCTTAAATAAAAAGTAAAAATTATACGGACATAAAAAGACTAATTTTTATGTATTACTAAAAATTCTGAAGAAATAAGAAAACTGTTCTTTTTCTTGATTTTAAGTACTTACTAAGCACCTACATTTTTCTTTAAGAAGAGTGCAGATTGCATGTATGCATTAAGAAGTTTCTTCTAAACAAAATAAACTGCCTTTTGATCTATTAGACAAAGGAATTTTAATTAAAAACAGCTATTAAATTTGAATTTTTTTCAAAAATAATTTTACTACAGTAAACCCCTTTCACTTTTTGTATGATAATTCAACTGTAGTATTAAAAGTTAGCAATGAACCTAAATTGCATGTTAATACAAATGCGGTAGTGGTGTAGTAGTAGAGCGCTCGCTTCATAAACGAGTGGTTCCGAGTTCGATCCCCACCACGTCCCTGGTAGTACCGCGCTCAACTCGTTTCTCCGCGCAGCGGCCTTGTTCGTCAAGGTTCGTGTTTCGGAGTTATAGAGTTGAGAGAGGGTTATAGCCACAAATAAGTAGCCTCCTCGTCTGTAGTGGCCTTCTCAGCCTTGAGGAGGTGAATTAAAATTAAAAAAAAAATACAGGAACAGCTAATTTATTATAAAAAAAGTCTAGCAGAAAAATATTTTAAGTCAAAAAGACTCTTTTTGAAGAAAGATTTCATGATGAGGAATATAAATAAACCAGTGTAGAAGGCAGATAATAACATTGGGTAAACTTAGCTTTCAATCAATGTCTTTTTATTGAATATGCTGAAGAAAAACCATGTGCATAATATATATATATATATATATATATATATATATATATATATATATATATATATATATATATATATATATATATATATATATATATATATATATATATAGTATATATATATATATATATATATATATATATGTATATATATATATATATATATATGTATATATATATATATATATATATATATATATATATATATATATATATATATATATATATATATATATATATATATATATATATATATATATATATACATATATATATATATATATATATACATATATATATATATATATATATATATATATATATATATATATATATATATATATATATATATATATATATATATATATATATATATATATATATATATATATATATATATATATATATATATGTATATATATATATATATATATATATATATATGTATATATATATATATATATATGTATATATATATATATGTATATATATATATATACATATATGTATATACATATATATATATATATATATATATATATATATATATTAATATATATATATATATATATATATATATATATAAGGGAAAGCGGGGTTGGTTGTCACACTTGTTACATTTTAGACGGGCAATTTTGGTATTGATCAAATCAATACCAAACTTTGCCCGAAAGTAATTTAATTATTTCCGGTAAATATTACAATATTTTTATGATTAATATGATTTTTATGAAATATTTTTTGCTGTAAAATTGTTTATCAAAGACCTCTTACGTTTCACAACCAACCCCACCCATGGGGTTGGTTGTCGCATACAATGGGGCTGGTTATTATATTTCGATTTGATTAAATTTAAAACTAGTACCAATAAATTTTTTTTATATAATACATGAATAAATCTAAATAATCAGAAAAGAAAAAGCCTATATACTGAAAAAAAAAATACTATATACCGAAAAATGTTTTTTTTTTTTAATATAACATTGTAAACACATTTAGTTTAGGACTATTAAAGT